GTGAACTGTCTTGTAGTCTGGTGCTCCATTCAAACCATGCTATTTCCAGAGAGTCTCCTGACACCGTATCTAATTTCCAAAATGAATATGCTTTAATTTTCCTTCTTCATGCATTGTGCTTTTTCCTCATTTAAAACAGCAACAGCCTCTGGCAGTAAAGGACATCACATTTCCGTGTGAGATGAAGCTTTTTTCCCCCGATATGCAGGAGAATGGCATGGGTCAAGGGAGAAAAAATGTATGCAAAAAACATCACACCCCACTGACCCCAGTATATTTTACATTACAATTTTGCCATTTCCAATATAGGTTCATTTTGCAGTGGACCATATCAGCCATATTTCAGGATTTACACTCAAAAAAAAAAAAGAAAGAAAAATCAGTACCTGGAGCATTGTCTGCATAGGGTCTGTCCTAATGCAATATATGGATTGTCTCATTAATGTGTAGTGTTGCTTGCAGGGAACACACAGGCATGCAGGGAATACTTATGCATGCCAGGGAGGCAGCACAGGTGTTCTGATGGGGATGTGCACATACATGCAATTATCTCTGCAGGTAACACACAAGTGCATTTGGATGGCTTCAAATTCAGCCTGGCACACGCTGCAGGTGAACCCCCTGGAATCAGAGGGGGTTTCCATGTAGGAACTCCACCCCCAAGCCATTAAAGTCCTCAAAATGGGGTGTGTAACACAGGTTCACCCATTTGAGCTGAGCCTGCCATGCTTTCAGTGGGCAACACAAGAAGCTTTATCCCCTGGCAGACATTAAAAGCCTTCCTTCCACCTCTAGCAGAAGGCAATTAATTAATCCACAGCCTGATTGGAAAAGCCCAGACGGTTCTGGAAGCTCCTCGTGGCTTCACCCTTTAGCCTTAAGTGTTTAAACGAGGCCCAGCTGTGCCTCGTTAACGCTGCCCAGGCCCTCTGAAGCTCCAGCAGCTGAGGAAAAAGATTCACCTTTTGTTCCCCCAACCCTCCTCCAGCACCAGGAAAGGGGTGAAGTGGAAACTTGGGGTAACCCTTATGTTTACCAGGGGTAAAATTCCCCACACTCAGTGGGAGTATTGCCTAAAAGCCATAACAATTCTGACTCCACAAACTACCAGGACCACAATGCTCACAGAGCTGGCACAGCTGACCATTAACAACAAAATAATCATCTGCTATTTTGACAGAAAAATCAAAGAACTATGACTTAAAAAGTACTAATTCTCATAAAAATCCCACTGAATTCCCATAAAATCCTCATCCTCTCCACAGATGACCAGCTCAGGGAAGGCTCACAAGAGAAACAATACAAATATACAGGTGCATAAATATGCCAACAAAGCAGGGGGTAAATACTGATGGGGAGAGGACTTAAAAGCGAAAAAAAATTAAGAATTTCACCACAGAAAATCATCACCTTTCACATCCCAAGCAGCTACTCCACCTTACAACAGCCATAGCAAGGAGCAACTTCAGGTCCTACAACCATCAAGCTTTCTCTGCTCATCACTTCAAAGAAACATGGAGCACTGTTGTGCTGCAAATCTGTAAAACTTTAGGAATAACAGGCAAACTTACCTTACCCAAAGCTCAGGGTAGCCCAGGGAGCTGGGGGGAGCTGCTGTGAGGGAACGTGGAGCAGTACAGACTAAAACTGGAGCCAGAGCAAGCTGAGGCTATAAGTGTGCTCCACAGGTGTTTGGGATAACACACTAATTAACTCCTGGAGCTCATTGGCTGTGAGTGCTCTGCTCCACACCCTGCCAGCAGCCCTGCCTCAGCACACCCCAAATTCTGCTGTGGAGCTGCTTTTGGGGTACATAAAGCTGCTCTGGGTTATTTCAGAGTCCCAACCATGGCACTAATGGAGAAGGTTTCCTTTAATCAGAGGCAGATGGGGGCCCTTAGATCCTGGGGACAGAGGTGGGGACAGCCTGCTGAAAATGCCCCGAAATGCAATTGCAAGAGCAGCAGCTTTTGGTGTTATTTGAAGCAGAAAGGGTAAAACATGCAATATTTTCTTCAGGTGTTAGCACTCTTAAATGTCACAGAGAAGCATCCTGTTGCCTGGCACGTTGTGGACTCCAGGCTCAACAGGTTTGCTTGCTTATTGTCAGCATTTACCTGAACTGGTTTTTAATAAAAGCCTCTGAAGCAGGAAAATCTCCTGCCTGAGAGGAGGCGTGGGGAGCCCGAGTAGAGGCCCCTGAGAGTTGCTGAGCTACTTAGTGACAGCCAGTTGCATCCCTGATATATCCCATTCCTTCATAACTGCAAATCCCCTCGGTGCTGCTCTGCACAGGACCAGCTTTCCTGTCAGCAGTATTGGATGGGAGCTGATGCTGCTGTTTACACATCCACGGTCACAACAATTTCAGTACCTGCCTGGCAAACACTGCTGTGTTCCAAGTGGCCAGCTTGAGCCAGCAAGATGTGCTGGAGGACAGAACTTGGGCCTTTCTGTATTCACCCAGGGCTTTGAACTTACCAAAATGAACCTTGATTCCAAATAATAATAACAATAATAGTAATAATAATAATTATGTTCCCTTTGGCTTCAGAACACCAGTTCCATCAAAGTACTGACTATTGAAAGTTCAACTGCTAATGGCAAGCTATTTTGAAAAGGGAAAAGTCTGGAGGCAAATTATGAGGGAAAGAATAGATATTAATAATTTTTAAAGTCATACTGTCTCAGGCATTATTTTCCTTTCTTTCATTATTCATGATGAGTTTTTTTGCTTCAAGGCCAAGTGAATTCATAGGACCTGACCTATCCAAACACAACCCCGACTCTGAACAATGCAGCCCAGCTGAGAATGTAGATAAAAGAAGAGCCCAAATGGAAAGAAAGAATGAAAAAGAAGATAATTTTGAACATTGGATTTAAACACACACATGAAAGTACAACCTTCCTGCTGATGAGTTCTTTTCCCTGTACCCTGTCCACTCTGTTGCCATCCCATGCACCCTGGTGAGGGATCTGTGGAATGGGAGTGCCAACAAGGGACTCATCCCATTTCTCTGTCCCTGCCTCCTTGGCCTTTAAAGCCAAGGGAAAACCTTTCACCTTGTCTTTTTTAGCTTAATTCCAGAGCTAATGGTGGAAACTCAGTAGTTTCAGCTTGGATAACCTGCACAGCATTTTGTTGCTGTGGGGCATGAGCAGACCCTGGGAAGAACTGAGCCTGGAGCCCAGTTCTCTCTGTTGACAAATTGAAGAGCTTGGAGGGAAAATCTCAATCCAGAGGAGGGTTTTTTCCCCCCAAAGCTCCCTTGGGGAAGGTTTTCCCACACTGGGTGTGCAGAGCACAGGGAGACTCCTACATTTGGACACAGAGGGACACCATGTCTGTGGCAGCTTCCTCTTGCCAGGAATGAGGGGGCCAGAAAGAAGCTTTAAGGACAGAAGCAATGACAATTCCATAGACCTTCTCCCCCTCCACTAATTCTCAGCATCCCCAAGTAGCCCCATGCACTGAAGAAAAACAGCAGTTCAGAATTCCCTTTGCTTCAGGGCAAAATAGCCCAGCTACATTACTTTGGTTTATCTCTATTTGTAACCATGTTCCTTGGAAGACAGGAGTTTGCTGTGGGATATCTCTGGCAACCTTGAAGGCAACTGATGCACTTTCCCCACTCTGGAATAAACTCAGCAAGATGAATCCTGCCTCAGACTGCACAGATGTGTGCATCTGCAGAAGAGGCTGTTAATAATTAATATAATTGTACAACCCCCTAGATATAAAAATACACAGACGGAGCCTCACATTTTGCCTGCTTCTCTGTAACAAATACCCAAACTGAAACAAATTTAACAAGATACATTACACAAGTCTGCAGACAGAAGTTGTATGAAAATTTTAACTCTCTTCAGCAAGAAAGCACTTCTATTTCCAGTAACGCTGGCAGCATATACTGTAGCTAGGCAGCCACATTTATTTTCAATTATCATTTTTGCCTTTTTATACAGCATAATGAAATGCCTGGTAAATTATACATTTTTGTAAAACACAAACTTGTCTCTTTATTTGCAGCTCAAGTCTTGCAATATCGTTTTGTCTGCATTAGTTCTGGCTCTTTATGAGAGGCCAATTACTTTTCTTAGCTGTAACACGTAGAGTGTGATATGTTACTCGCCAGTCCTGGCTGAGACACAGCCTGCTGCAAAGTGACCATGGCTGAGGCTCAGACCTTTGGAGAAAAGGGGGAGAATTCCCAGCATTCTGCTTGCTAAAACATCATCCACACTCACTTGCTCCAGCTTCCATACCTAAGATTTTCAGTCCAAACCTCCTGCTAAACAAAAGCATGTTTTTAGGAGAAAAAAAAAGCATACAGTTTCTTCTTCCCCCAGTCTCCCTTTAGAAAGACGCTCTCCTGGCAGATGGATTTCAATATGCCGTCTCCCAAATCTTAAGCAACTCTGAAAATATAAAGTTCACTTATACCAACGGGCCATATATATCTGCACCTCTCGTTTCCCTGTCTCTTTAACTGGCACTTTGAACTAGTGAGCACCTCTTTAATCTTGCCCCATTATCATCCTAATAGCACCTCCCGATATTCATAAATGTCTAGCAAGACTTTCAGCTATTTGGTATGAAGAAGAAATATCCAGCTAAATTGAGAAGATTACCACATCACCACATAAATCAGTGACAGGCCGCGTGTTATTACAGTTGATTTTTGTTGACAGTTGGCTGTAGGCAGTTGTGTTTCAAATGCCTTTTTTCTCTGGGAAATTAAACAAAATTCCATGCAAAATGCAGCCCTCCAGTTCAAAAACTGTAAATCCAAAATTAGCATTTCATACTTTAAAAGGTAGCACAGCACAATTTTCCATTGAAAGGTCTGTACAGTTGTCACAAATGGGTGCTTCACACATGACACTAATGCTACCGACGCCTTTTAAGAAAGCCACCTTTCTCTGATATTATTTTCTTCTCCCAATAATCTGCATACACTATGGTTCATCCCTACGGAAAAGAAAGAGAGCTCACTTACTTATCTCTCATATGGGAGCATTATGCTTTCAGCAATTCAGACAGATAGGCTGGCTGGGGGGGGGCGCCTTGCCGAAGCCTCCGCGATAAGAGGGAGGGAATCGTGGCCAGCGAAAGGTTAATCCTCCCTCTCCAAGTCCCTCCTTCTGTCTTGGCATAACCTGGAGAGCAAAGAAAATGCCAGGCTCACAAAAGTGAAAAGACACACCGGCACCAGAGCGTTGGCGCCGCGTCGCGCGGCGGGGCCACGCGTGACCTAATTAACAAAAAGCCGTCGCTGGAAGTCAGGGAAGCAGCTTGGGTGACACCAGAGAGGACCAGAACTTGCGAAGGAGTGTCTGCTTCCAGCAGCTGCTGATCTGCCAGTTCTGGCTCGGAGAGCACCCGCTGCCAAGCCAATTCTCAGGGACTGTGGTGTCAGCGCGTTGATTGAGCAGACAGAGCGCCTTCCCTTCTCCAGACAGATCCTGGGGGCATTGGCTTTGTCTTGGGCAGGAGCTTGGAGAAATCACCACCACAAGAAGTTCACATTTTTGGCTATGCATACACACACACATATATATATATATAACACAGGGAGTTGAAGCAGAGAACTGCTCTGCCTACTCCTGGGCATGGGGACAGACGTGTAATGCAGTTTGTCAGCCAAAAGATGTTTTATGTGTCTTCACACAAACACTCTGCTGGCAGCTCACTGGCTTCTGGCCACGCAGCCCAGCGTCCCCTGGTCAGAAGCGCTGGGCTGAAAAGCAGATCACCAGCCACTTGCATCTGCTTCATTCTCCCCAGTGTTCAAGGGCAGGGGTGTGATGGCCTGAGTTAGGGATCATCCCTTCTCCAGCCCTGTCCTCAGAGGGGAGCCAAGGATGGAGAGCCCACCTGCTGACCTCTGAGCTGGGTAATCCTGCTGCTTGTCACTGAGAGGGAAGTGTGCTCACAGTAGCCAGTGCCAATAAAATTAAGCATTTCAGTCAATATTGAAATGGTTTAATCTGAATTCACCATCAGGCATTTTAAACAGCTGCCTCGCTCTCATTTGCTCGTGGCTGGGTCAAGGTTTAGTTTTTACAGCCTGTGCCAAACCTTTCCCTGGTGTAACTCTGCTACAGAACAGGACAAGATGTCCATGGGAGCCTGGCCTCAGTCACACGTGGTGTGTCACCCATACGAAAAAGCTCTTGACCCTCTGCTAGAGGTTAGATTTGCCCCTGATTACAGGCAAAGACTAAATCATAATAATCACAGTGAGATACTCATTTCTTACCAGTTGCCCGACTGGGGAAAAAGTACTCAGCCAAGCAGGATGGAAAGTGGCAGCAGAAGAGAACACACAGTGAATATGTTGGAGCAATCCTGTGTTCCCTGTTGAGGAGAGATTGGAAACAGGACAAAACTTTGCTGTTGAGTGAGCTGCAGCCTACAGAGAGTGACTGAATGATTTAAGGCAGCACTTGTTCAACACTGGAAATATTTATACCTGTAAGATCTGTAGGGAATATCATTAGAAGGGTTATGCCACTAATACTTTCTCTTCTAACTCTGTGCACATTTTCATATCTGATTCCCAGTGAATACTTCTTACAAATTTTTGAAACACACAATAGGTGACCTCCCATTTCTGCTTGGGACCAGCTCCTCAGGAAAACCAGGCAATGAGGAGACAGACCAAACTGGCAGTGTGAAAGAGCATCCACAGGGAAAAGAAGAGCCCCACCAAAAAATGCCCAACATGAACACAAAGCAGCAAAAACCAAAGCAGGTTTTAGGTACAAAGCTGCCCATTCTGATAAAGATGAGGAACCAGTACATGATCACTGGGGAGAGGAAGCTGAGCTGAACCAGACAGTGTTGCCAAGAATGGTGCTTGTGTGAGGAGGGCTCTGACTGCAGGCAGAAGGTGACTCTGTGTGCACAAGCGGGTGTTTTGTGCCACATGAAAAGCCTGAGAAGTGTGGCAGCTCCCTGTGCCTCCAGACATGAGACAGGCTGTTCACCCCATGGTACAGGAGAGCCCTCCTCCAGGGCCGTGCTCATGCAAGGACAGGGAAAGGCTGATAAGAGGAGGGAGATTTGGGAGCCCAGGTGTCACCTCACCCCGACCAGAGGAAGGCATCAGGGTGCCTGGGATAATGAAGGATACACAATGGCTTTGCTTGAGGAGGAGCCCAGTGACAAAGGCCAGCTTTGTTGTGCCAAGGTATGAAACAGCCTTGCAGGACAACCAGCAGACTTGCTTGAAGAACAGCAGAAATTCAACATCAGAAATTATCCTTCAACTGAGGAGATGAGGCAATCTGGGGTGGTGACAGTGGGAGCAGGGGAAGCAAAGTGTGGGCAGCCTGACCCACAGCCATGGCAGAGCAGGTTGCTCCAGAGAGCCTACAGAGTGCTGGAAATGGAAAGCCTTCTCGTGCTGTCCCCTGACAGGCGGTTCTTTGAGATGTTCCTACCTCCAAAACTTCTGGGTTTGGCAGCACTACAGACATCATGTAAAGGGGAGAGCCTCTGGATTTGCTGTTTCAGTGAATGCAAAGAGTGCAAGCCACCCCTCTGGTCCCCTGGCATCCTTTTCTGCACAGCCCAGGTGTTTGCATCTCAACAGCAGTTTTTGTACTGAACCCAGCAAGACGCGATGAAATCCCAGCGCGTGTTTCACAGAGACATCCGGCTGTGAGGGAGAGATCACACTCAGCTTTGGATTGTAAGCCCAGGCTTGTCATGAGAACAAGTCAATTACTCCACAAATGAGGGGAAATACTCTACAAATTTTAGCTGAACTAAGTAGAGAAATGAATCTGTAAATAATCAAATGGCGTGTCTGTTTATAATTATTATCATGCAAGTAGTATAATGTTAGTTGAGCAAGATAATTTTTGTGTGTTTTGGGATTTCCTAGTTTGCATCTTTCTGCCTACAAATTTAGATCTCCAGGGCAGGTAATTTTTTTTTCCTGATGTCTCATAAAGATAAAGAAATGTTGAATATAAAACCTGACAGGAAGTTTTTCCTTTCGAAGTATAGTTCATGTGGTTGTTTAGAAAAACACAGTTCAAGTACTGTTCTTTCCTTTGTTCTTACAAGTTGTGAGTAATACACACATTTGTTCACAGGACAAAGGCTGTGCTCGTGACAGTAGCCTTGGAACAATGTCAGGTGGCTGTTGCTTACAGGACAGGAGTCCTGTGGTCTCTCCCAACTCCAAGCTCATCAGTGTTAGCAGCTGAAGCTGGATTTAACTGCTGGCCAAATCACAGAGGTGTGCAGGCTTCCTGCACTGCCTTGAGTTGGGGTGCCCAGAAAACTCTTCAGGAACAAATAAATTTATAAAATATCCTAGGGGATGTGTGAGAATTGGAGCTGAAATTTAGTATTTTCTAACTGCTCTCACCCTTCCTCCTGGGACTGCTGCTGATCTTTGATCACTTCCCTCATTTACAAATGCTGTCATCTCACCATTCTCCTTCCACTCCGTATCATTAATACAAATCTGGAAACAATGGCTTTCTCCCTGCTAAAACATTGCAACATCCCACTATTTGTTTCCTCTTCTAAAACGGATCATTCATTATAACCCATATCCCCCAAAGAATTTTATCACTTGAAACCTGTTTGCAGTGAATCTAAAGTAGCTGGGAAATCATCTCCTCAGAAATTCCTGTGTATGCTGGAGCCGACTTCTCCTGGAAGCCCAATAAAGTGTTGAGTCCCTCTGCAGGCAATATCCATTTTTCTTCTTTCTGATACAGTCTCCGGCAGTAACCCCTGCAGCTGTGCACGATCCATTTTTTTATTTTTTTGCTGCTGAAATTCACTGCTCAGCTCTGTTAGCTCTTGTACCCACTTCATCCCAGAGAGTTGGGATAATTGCCTCCTTGCTTCGGCATTCCACCACCTCCATGCTTATCGCAGAGGTCAGCTTTTCTTTTATCTCTCCTATAACCAACTCGTTATTTGCTGCTTTCTCTTGCAAGGGACAGGCTGCTGCTCCCTGACTCCTGCCCCATTCCACTTTTCCTGGTGTTGTGCACCTCATTTGAATATTTCTCCCTAAAAGGACATCTCTGCCTCTCAGCATTTGAATTTAGGATTTTACTTTGCAGTCTGCAGTCTCCAGCAGCAGCAGCAGAGGCTTGGGTGAACACTGACCTCTGTGATGAGGCATCACCAAAATGCTTACACCTGCAGTTCAAGAGTTGTGTGAGCAGGGAATTTTCCCAAAAATCTGGGCAGCCTTTAGAGCCATGGAAGGCTCTGTTTAATAAATTAAATAGGAGTAACATGCTCACTGTTTTTTTTTACCTGAGAAAGGTTATGCAACCTAGTAATGTTAAAATACATTCAGGGTGAGGCTTGGGACTCAAATTGCCCAAATGTTGGTAGAAAAGAATGGAGTGTTGAATATAAAACAAAATAATGCAGGAAATGGTCTACACTGTTAAGGGTGAAGGCAGCTATGGCTGTGCAATATTTACCATCAAGGAGGCTTGGACCAAAGCTGCCTTTGAACTACTCACAGTCAAGAATAAACCCTAATGTCAGGATGTGAAAATTTGAAGTGCAGAAAGGGCAACCATCCCTTACAAGTCCCCAGACTATCTAAATACTATGGGAGACACTTTGAAACAGATGCAGATGATGAAACACTGAGCTATCCTACAGAACTTTTTCTCAGGACGTACAATTTTTTAAAATAACAGCAAATTCTCGACTACTGAGGAGTGGGTAATAAGGTCTGGAAAGCACAGGCAGAGCCAGGCTTACTAAAATCAGCCTTGAAGTGTCACTCACAAATTGTCACCAAAGCACTGTGAGAGGAGTGCAGACAGGGCAACTTTTGCAGAGATACCAATGACACTCAGACTTCCAGGGGCTTTCAGAGGATGTTATGTACCCATTTCCCTGTTTGAAAATGTGCCTCTTCACGCAAAACAAGAGATCTTTGCATTTTTAAATAGCACATGTCAAATCTCGCTCATGTAAAACCTCTCCTCCAGTGCTCTGCCGAGCAGCAGTGGTGCTGTCTGAAAACACAGATGTTTTCTGGAAATTTGGGTGTCTCCAGCTTTTCAGTCCATGTCAATGCAATGCAGTTGAACTTCCTAATCAATGATAATTCACTGTAATATTGATGATGACACTCACTGTGCAGAGACATAAATCCCCAATTTTTTGCTGTTGCTTAATGCCATTGTGAATTTCAGACAGGCTGGATTGTCCCACACTAGGCACACCAGGATGAAACCTGGCTTCATCCTGAGGCCACCAGAACAGCAGAAGAATAGAGTCCAGTCCCACACCTGCCACCAGCCAGCCTGAATCACTTTATTTGCTTTCTTCCCCTCACAACATTTTCTGTTTAAACCTGAAGCTCTGTAAGACAGGAAATGTTTTCCTTCAATGGGGTATGCACAGTTCCTGCAATGGTGGGACTCCTGTCTCTGCCAGGACCTTGGAGCAGACAAGAAATCAAGCAGAAAGAGCTGG